ATATTATGTAGCAACTATCATGAAATGTCGCACATTTAGACATTTTGTCGCATTATGTAGCAAATATCACAAAATGTCGCACATTTAAACAAAGAGTAAGCAAGCACATGCGCTTTTCTTTCGGACGATCTATGTTTTGTGCACAGAAAGGCGCAGGTGCCGGCAATACACCCACTTGCTACAATCCACTTCCACGAAAAGCGTGTCCGTAGTTTCTCTGTCGTTTCTAATAGTGGACGTCACGGTTTTCTACAATTTTTCTGTGGTGATGGCCCTACCCTCCCCACAAGGACTCGAGACATCCTGAAAAATTTCAACTCGCAATTTTCACAAACAAAAACGTATCCACTCGCGCTTTTTTAATCCTTTCTGTGTTTCGATCTGGCAGGCCGAAAGTAGTCTGGCGCTGCGACAAAAGAATTCGTTGGAGCGAGCTTTGGGAACATGGCACGTTCAATATGGAAAAGTAACGAGTAACGTGACACCACACGTAACCAAAAAATGGTAACGTAAATACGTTGCCCGTCACAGTTCCGAAATTACCCAAAATTACCCCAAAAAGTTACGCGTTACTACCAACGCTGGTTATAGGAAACAACAGCACACTCTTTGTGCATTCACTTCTCTCTTGTGTGGTTGCTGAGGTCAAAGGAAGTTAATTTTACAACAAACTGATTTTCTCACTCCATCATTCAAGTTTTCATAAAGGTAGGTTGTTCTTCAAAAATTGCGGTGATTACCTACACATCTAATAAGACTGAGCCCAATGAGTTAGGAGTTTTATCAAAGCATCTTGTTGGTTACATAGACCCATTTGTCTAAATACTTTTGCTCACTGTTCTCAGACGCATGGCATAGCTAGACGCTAGTTATTCAATGGAAAGCTACGTTAGCATTAATCTTGTATCTGTACTACGTCGTACAACGTCTACAAAGCATCCAATAAAAAAACATTGTTTCTTTAGTTTTCTCCGAATGTACGGAAGAGGCGCTGCGTTCGTGAGCAGCTTGACACATGGTGGTTACGGTTTTGCCGTTTCTTTGGATAACAGAAACACATAACGCAGTGTGGAACGCACTTTGGCTGGTTGATTCACTATTTCCAGTAGAAAATTGTGCTAAAAGACCGGACGAAAAAAGTTCGCACCAATTTTCTTTCGACATCTCATTATGCGCGGTGCTCTACTGGGCATGACACATGTGGCGCCTCAAAGTTTAGTGATTCAGTTTCCGTTTCCGGTTTCTCGTCATCCCTTCGCATTTCTCCCTCAATTCAAGGGAGCTAGAAAATCTGGCTTTTCATCAGACTGTAGCCTCTCTGTACTTCCTCTTCTTTTCCTCTTTTTCTCCCGAGTCACCATTTACGTAGCAAATGTAGTGAAAAGAGATAAGGTGGTTAGTGAGAGTTGTTATGGTCAGCATAGTAATCAAAATGATTGAAATATTAGGAAAAAATATTTTGCGAAAATCCCTCGTCCGCGGTGTTTGACGTGCCCACTCACTTCAACGTTCTGCTCAATATTACTGATGCCTACGCTTTCTCCTCCTTCCATTCCCATGCCCTCCTCCTCGGCATTTATGCATATGGCTTAACTTTGTTCTCAAGAATAGCTTAAGATGCTCGGTTGCTGAGTACGTAGTCGCTTGTTTCACAAGTGCCACCTCACAATTACGTGAACACTTTTCATTTCTGAGCTATTCGGTTTGATTGATACGTGGGGTTATATTTACTTATTTATTTATTTATTTATTATTTATTTATTTATTTATTTATTTATTTATTTATTTATTTATTTGGGCCTTTTCACTAAATGCCAATGAAAGGGGGAAAGAGAGAGCGTCTCCTGACTTGGCCCACTCTTTTTGAGGCACCTCGGGCAGGTACAGCAAAACAGTGCATAGAAATATTCAGTAATACATACAAATTATAAATAAACGAGAAACACTGCAACAAGCTGAAAAATATCGGTTAAATATACGATAAATACAAAGTCGTTATCAGCACTATTCCTTCCTAAAACCACTATATGATTACGAGAGACGACGCGTAGTGGAGGGTTTCGGAGATTTCGATCATCTGAGGTTCTTAAACGTGCACCCAATACTGAGCACACGGGCCTACAGCATTTTCACCTCCATCGAAAGTGCAGCCGCCGCATCCGGGATTCGATCACGCGACCTGAAGGTCAGCAGCCGAGTACCTTAGCCCCTAGACCACCAAGGCAGGCTAGTGTGTCTAGCCACCCTAGCGGGGATGAGCTATTCGGTTACTAGGCCAGATAGAATGTTTGTGAGGGAGTACCTAGAGTAATGTTTATTTTCTACCGTTCACCATGTGGCATATGACATGTGACTGAACAAGTGAAATAACTCCATTTGCCAGCAACGTGTGAAGCATGCAAGCTTTAAGTACAGGCATAACTGGCGAGATTCGATAAAGAAGAGGCTCTCAAACTTTCTGACTTTGGGGAATCGGGACGGTTTTTATTCAGTAATATGTGGGCTATAACGCCCCAAAACCACCATATGATTATGAGGGAAGCAGCAGTGGAGGGCTCTGGAAATTTTGACCTCCTGGGGTTCTTTAACGTGCACCCAAAGCTTCTGAGTGGGCTGTTTTCCGAGAGCGTCGCGGAACACATAACTTTTTTTGCACAAAAACAATAGAAAGCTGGATGAAGGGGGGGGGGGGGGAGATAACGCCTGTAACACACGCAACCACAATATTAGCACTGTTGTACATCTGGGCCTGTCCTTTTCTTTTTAATGCTCATGGTCATCGCCGTTGATGTAAAACTCGCGAAAATACATCTACTCACTATTTCCCCCTCCCCCAACGTCACTCCACGAGTCGCCTAAAGCGCCCGCACAACACGCGCTGCATGATTCAGGCACCGCACAGCGTAAGCAGTGTGTTCACGCTGACGAAGTGGCAGACTTACAGAAACCTGTTTTGTATTTTGCAATAAATAAATAAATTAATAAATAAATAAATAAATAAGGCATGCTAGTGGCACAGTGCAAAGCCACCAACCGATACTTCAATCGTGAAGCTAATCCTAAATGCTCGTATAGCCAACAGCTGGCTCGAAGCGATGCCTCTAACGCATATCAAAAGGCTCCTTGCGTGCTTTAAGTACAGAATAACTGTGTATGAAAACTATACCACGTGATCGCCGACTGCCATTAGCCACGAATAAAGCGTCGCGGTGCTCTATAATGTCGTTCGAACTGGTTTGAGTGCTCATGAGTATGAATTACCAGTGGTCTCTGCGTTCTGTCACCTCGGGTCCGCAAATTGGGAAAGTGTCATGGTATAGACTAGACGACGAAACTTTAGTGCTGCCATGTGGGGTCTTTCGCTATCCGCAGACACTCGATGGTTGGATGCAGCGTGTGATGGCTCCCTTAAGGGCGAGATGCAAGGCAATTCGGCTTGTCTAAATAATAAATTAGTTTCTGATCGAGGCAGAAACTGTGGTGGGTTGCACTCGTTAAGGTAGCTCGCGGTGCCCTCAGGTGTCCTTCATAGAACCCAGAACCCCTGAGTTAAATGTCAGTCGTTGAAACCACGGTGGTTGAAACTGAGCTTGATTGGGACTTGCTCGAAACCGCCAACTGAAATGCCATGAGGGTGATTGCCTTCCTTGTATAACACTTATCGCGACCCTTTAGCCAGAAGTGCAGCTCCACACCATCGACGAAATTGTACTCCAGCGTTGAGTCACTCGCTACCTAAACATTCAAGCTGTTTCTGCGGCAGCAGTTCTATAGTTCACTATTATAATATAACGCTTCCACAGCCTGACGCCCTCTTGCCAGAAGTTCCACCATGGTTCAAGGCACAGGCCAGCGATAACGGATGACTGACTCGCCTGCGACAATACACCCGTCAAGTGGCACAGGAGGACGTCGACTCTACCATCGACAACTCACTAGCGGTATGCGCAGCAATCGATAACTGTGTTCTGCACACCAGTCTCGTATGTCCCGCGCTACCTTGAAACGCAACCTACATGTGTTTTTGTAACAGAGGCCCCACTCCCATCTGTATTGGCGGAGCCTACTGCAATACGGGATGGGGTAACAGTCATGATATGTAAGATGTATTCCTTGTCACATGATAAATTGCTTGTATATACACTCCTCACAGGCATTTTGAGTGCTGCGAAAAGTGACCAGCTCCTCCTCTATAGCCTCTTATATACACCGATTGATCCATTCGTGTGTTCTGTCCGCGAATTGTGGACAAATGCCGCTTGCCATACAGCGGCAGTTCAACACCCTGAGCCTCTACTTCACTTCTCCCCGAAGGACAGCTTGCTTCTGCACAAAGAATCCCTCCGGCGCTCCACGCGTGCACTCACATTTCTCCGCATGGGTCATACCTTCCCGATGGCTTAACTCGCCGAGAGGAAATCGCGCTCAGGAGGATTCGTGTGGGCGCCGCCTTGACTCCTGCAATCAGGGCTACATGGACATCCGGTGCACAACCTCCCCCCACGACATGCCCATTCTGCGTTACCCCAGTCATAGAGGCAACGCTCGATCACCCATTTGGTCTTCACCAAACTCGCACTCACCCCCTACGCGGCCTTCACCACCACCATGGCCGACCACCTGACTTGGTGCGCTGTACGTATGGTCCACTGCATCGACCACTCCTGGCCTTCATACAGAAAATAAAGCTTTCCTTTTTATTTACCTTATGTCAGAGGGCACACCGACGCCATTAAAAAAACCCTGGGTTCCGCGGAACTCTGTTTCAGAACCCATGAGATAAACATTAGAAAAGATCAAGTAATTCGCGCTATACTTACGGACTATTACGGGCTCCAACGTGCGTTTTCATACATTGTAAAAGACTGGCGGTTTTTGGTCAACGAGCAAAAACTTCAGCGCCTCTCACAAAAGCTCTAAAGGAGATGTATATTCAGCAATTATTTGGTAGCATATGACGTCGCATATGCTAGAGCATTCATCTTCTCTCCTCCTTACAGAGTGTCGACGGTGGCGAACCAGTCCTTGTCAAGCGTGTCTTCGACCCTCATCGTGTCCACGGAGACAGTCGAGGATTCTGGCATCTACAGCTGCTTTGCCAAGAACCACTACGGATCCGACGAGACCAGCATGCGTCTCCTTGTTCAAGGTAATTTAGGCCAATGGTTAAAGCGCGCAGCGCGCGAGACTATACTGCTGCGCACCTTAACGAGAACCCTGGCAGATGTACTTCAGCCCCAGGCCTATCAAAGAGCTGCTGCCACGAGAAATGTCGCGTGGTAGTGGCGTTGAAAATTCCGCACTTTCATGGTGCACATGAGAGACTAATGAAGAAGTGATGGTTTCTCGTAAACTATATGAAAATGTCAGAGCCTGACGTTAAGTACCCGTTCCTGTCAGCTTGTATGCGCCAGCTGTATTATGCACACAAATCCTCAGTCCGCATGCTGACATGTGTGCGTGAGGCACCGCACGACGGAAGCTGAACCTGGAACGGTGCCCTCACCCAGCAGAGCCGATTAAGAGTGATGGTGAATCCATTTGGCTTCGTTGTTCTTGCGCTCAAGCACGCTGCTCGCTTGCCGTGGCTCTTTGCCTTTTCACGCGCAGGGCGCGCACGTACTGTCAATAGTTAAACATCAGAACACCACCAACGGCGACCCCCAAAGGCAGCGGCACGTGTGTGCCGCGAGTGTTAAACACGTGGCTTGCTTCCGCACATTTATGACGGGTTAGATTTTTTTCTTTGAGCAAAATATTGTTCTTCAATTTTGAGCGATGTGATTCAAAACTGATATCGATTGTTTCAACCAAAAATTATCGTTTTTTTCATTCATGAAGAACTCTATCAGTTTTAAGTGCATGTGTCCTTGAATGCGAGTTCTAAAGTGTACCTTCACATGATCAACTCACTTTTTACGTAATATTATATAGTTCATTTTCTTCATCTATTTCGGAAACATCACGGAAATATCAACCTATGTTTTCAAGTAGCCGAGGACGACTGCTTTCGCAATCAATGATCCGACACGACCAACCTTTAAAATTGCAAAAAAAAAGGTAAATGTTTTCCTCAAGCTCCCATTCGGTCTTCTGTGTAGTCGCTCAATAAGCTTCCTGCCTTCGTGGGCCCGACGTAAACAACATATGATGTGTAAAGCCCTTTAATCAGCTTGTGGACCGAGAGGTAGTTGTCTGGCATCGAAAAGTAAAGCGTTTCATCAAGCGAGCTCTAGCATATCTGGCATAGCTTAAAAAAAACTTGATGATATTTACCTGGCTGAGGCTTTAGTCAAGGAGAAAGATTCTTCAAAGGTCAAGAAAAAAAAAGGTACCGTGCAAAACATTGTTGCTTGATGCAGTCAGTTGACTGATCGCAGCCGCAGCATCGAGCTATCACATACTCCATAGCAGAAAGCAAAATCATGTACCCACCACTCTGACACACAATGCGGTTGTGAACGATTATGCCAGTGTATCAATGTTGCTTTAGCCGTGGTGGAAAAAAAAATAAGAAGTTCCAGAATGCTTCAGGCATGGCGGGCTTTTTTTTCAGGAACAATAAGGAACAACTGCCAAATTAGAGGCAAGTCTGTCAACAGGCATCTTTGATATATTCCGCCGTTCTGCCAGTCTCGCTTGGTATGTGGCTCGTAGTTTAACGATTCTAGGGCCACTAATCCATAACGTGATGTAGTTCGCCCCGCCGCGGTGCTCTAGTGGCTAAGGTACTCGGCTGCTGACCCGCAAGGCGCGGGTTCGAATCCCGGCTGCGGTGGCTGCATTTCCTATGGAGGCGGAAATGTTGTAGGCCTGTGTGCTCAGACTTGGGTGCACGCTAAAGAACCCCAGGTGGTCTAAATTACCGGAGCCCTCCACTACGGCATCTCTCATAATCATATAGTGGTTTTGGGACGTTAAACCCCACATATCACCCCGCCGCGGTGGTTTAGTGGCTACGGTACTCGGCTGCTTACCTGCAGGTCGCGGGTTCAAATCCCGGCTGCGGCGGCTGCATTTCCGATGGAGGCGGAAATGCTGTAGGCCCGTGTGCTCAGATTTGGGTGCACGTTAAAGAACCCCAGGTGGTCAAAATTTCCGGAGCCCTCCACTACGGCGTCTCTCATAATCATATGGTGGTTTTGGGACGTTAAACCCCACATATCAATCAATCAACCCCACATATCAAATCAACGTGATGTAGTTCGCGTGGGTTGCAGATTTTATCGGACAAAAAAATTGGCCCCCTATCTGCATGTACGCCGCGAATGTCGTTGAAAGATGACAGTCTTGCGTCTGGAGAGAGTGAACAAAACGTTTATTTATGTTCTGAGCAAGAAAATCAGTGAATGGTATTCTGGAGGCGCTGTGTTAGAGTGCCTAGAGCGTGCAGCGGAGGTGAACGAGCGCATCAAATCACGTAACACGTGAGACATGAGCGCTATCTGGCAGTTATCTTGGAAAACGAAGCGCGTGCGCCCTGCCCGCCGTTCTCGGAGGTGATAAAGTGCAGGACGCAAGGCGACGGGCAGGGGCCACCACCGTGTCGTCTTAGCAAAGAGTTGGAAACACTTGCCTTTTGGTGCAAGCATTGCATGGTTCGCGCAACGTGATAAACGCTATGGTCCTGATAATTACTTATGTACGCCTTTTCTGTAGTAAGAGACACACATGCAGAATATAGACGTGTTGTTATGGTGCCTCAGATATGCGCAATAATTGCTTTTTAATTGACAGTCGCACAAGTACGAACGCTGAACCTTGAGCAATATTGGTGGGTGCTGTGGATGAGGTCAGCCGTTTAGAGTGTCGTTTGGTCACTTTAAGAACATTTAGGGTACCATTAAGGGTGGACAAACAGACAGACAGGCAGGCAGACAGACAGACAGACAGACAGACAAAAATTTTTGCGTCGAAGGTCCCCAAGAAAGACTATCATTTTTAATAAATCAGTTTCGCTACACAGCTTTTCTAGGCTTTGCTGTCTATTCATATCGTATACAGACCTGCTCTGGGAGACCGACCTTTGCCTGTATCACACCTGCTTGCTCGGCAGACGCTCATGATTTTATCTATTCTTGACAGTTTCTTGTGCATGGAAAGAAGCTTGAATACACTGAGTACTGCGGCCACGAGCCGAAGCAGCGCTATAAATTATTGTAGGAAGTGCAGTGCATGTTTCTATACTGGCCATACGCCTGCGCGCCGAAGACGCGGTACTTTTTTTTGTATGTTCACAAACATGCCGCATGCCTTCACTTAGAATGCAGAATACGATTTCCTCTCGATCCTACCGAAACGCTGTTATTGGCTTTGTCAAAAAACCTATGAAAACGTGAGTTCATGTCCACCCATGAGATATAAATATCACTATGCGTCACATTGTTGACACGTAAGCTGCAGAATAATGTAAACACACACTGTTGCTACCAAGGAGGCCCCCTTTCAGTCGTTCATATATTTCGTTCGTCTGCATCGCGACAACAGAGTGCATGGCTGCTGTAGTCGCCTGAATTAACGGTGCAGCAGGGTAGTGAACGCGACGTCCAGTTTTCTTACCAATGTCAATACAGAAAATAGGAATATGTGTCACCGACGCGCCACCATAGCTCCTTCACATATGAGTGCATGCGTGCTTCTCTATTTCCACATAGTGATCTTTATTTCACAAAATTCCTATCAGTATGCAAAGAATGACAAAAAAACTTTTCGTTTTCAATTAGCCTTCAACACAAAAAACGACAATCCTGAGCGCATATTTTCTCCTTCTCATAGTCAGCCCTAAAAGTCGTATTTAAATTATATATAGCTATTCTATTAACAGTAAACCTTAAATTCAGCTTTCGCGATCGTTCACGTGGAAAAGCTTCTTTTACTGCACTGAACATAACGTAATAGCGTCGTCTGGCTTAGGTGCCACTCCGGTCCCACGGGTCTCAACCTGGTAGTGGGCCCCCGCCATAGCACCCATCATCCAACAAGTCAGATGATGTGCTCGTGAATGACGAAGCTTCATTTACATGGTTATTAAGTGAAAAGTCGAAAGGAGGTGATTAAGAGATCAAGTAAAATGAGCTCGCTGCAAAAATGCAGGACTGAACCAAAGAACTGAGGAACATATACAAAAGGTGGTCCGCTTATATGACGCCGCATTGCCAAACCCTGGGTGCATTGTCCCGAGCTTCAGCCTATACGGCGCTCGACAGCCTCGGTGGTCCACCCACGAAGACGAGGAAAGACACCACACAGTGCACGTGGAGCGGGCACATTCTAAACAATGCTCAAATATGGTCACGAACGCACAACCCCCACGTTTTGCCCCCACACCAACATTTTGCACACGGCCGATGATGCTAGATGATCGGAGTTCCAAGAATTATCTCGGAAAGTATAGAGTGATGTTCGAAAATCCCGGCTCCCGGTACACGTGGCAAACTTGCCTGTTTGCCTTCGAGTAGGACAATGTAGTGGCCTGACAGCTCATTCAAACAAGTCGCTTAATTTATCCGATGCTATGGAGAGAGGGGAATGAGGAGTGGTCGACTAATCTCTCGTCATTCGCTAGAAGTTACTGCTTAGCAACTGCAAATTTCCGGGACTTCACTTCTCCTCGAAAGGTGCAGCAGCAACCAGTTCTTGTTTTAGCTTCCAGCCCAGACCATAAATACCACGCTGGTTCATGTCTCTCCATATCCACGGTGGCCTCGAAAATGGCCCAGTTGCCTCTTTCTTTGCCAGGAGAGCCTTGTAAAGAGCGAGAAGGATTTAAAAAAAATGCTGGAGTGGAACTTCCCACGATGCCTTGTCAACAGAAGTAAAGCCTCCTTTGTCACTGCCAAGATGATAGAAACAAGCTCTTTTCTGGTAGTGCCCACATACAGATCAAGTGACATTGTTATGTTAGTGTAAATTCGACGTTAGTTCTATGCTAAAAGATAGTTGTTCCCGACGAAATAACACACAGAAACGAGAATGGCTGACTGAATTTCCCAAGATCTTTGCCTCCGATTAGAGGCTCACTAAGGAAAACTAGTAACACTAAGACGCATTCGGAGCACTATGTTACCTAAAAAAAAGTTTCCACATTACACTCGTTGGGCATGCGAGGGTACGCTTCGTTCTTAATCACTGAACGGTGATACTTTATCATGCCTCTAGTAAGATGGCCGCCGCAGCCGCCATCTTGCCAGAGGCATGGCTTCACTCCTAGGCAATGATTTCCACTCCAGCAATTTTTTTTTTCAATCCTCTTTGATACAGAGTCGAGTTCAAAATGACCTTTCCTTGCTCGTGTGTTTTTATAGCGCTGAACCAGTCCTGAGACACCTTTGTTCACGCTTGACAGAAAGATAATTAGCCCGTCTCGCCGTCACACCCTCGCTTAGATTGGCTCCAAAACTTTTCGTCGGGTTCACAGCCGCGTAAAAAATTTCAATACTGATGGCGCTTATAACTTCAGACCACATTGTCTCATTGCTTTAACAAAGGACTTAACGTAGTATTCAACGAATTTCCTATGGCAATTGTCAAGGTGTTTCTAACAACTCAGCTGCCTGTGTAGTATACATGTATTTTATTTCAATTTGCTCGTCACTTGTCATTTTCGCAGCTGGTAACTATTCATCATGCATGTATCGACATTGTGTGCGAGAATTGGTTTCGGCGAATAAAACTTAGAGGAACTTGAAGCTATTTATCTTCAGAATTTTATGGCACACAAAAAAGAAAAGATTAGTTTAATTTTATTCATATTCGCTATCGAACTTTTATTTCAAAGGAAGTCTTAAGTGTCAATAAATACATTTTTATGTACTACTAATTACTCTGAAGCCACTTTAAAGCCATGTTGTTGCTATTTATAGTACCTCTTAGTTTTCTTTGCTTCTCTTCATTTTTCCTTTCTAGAGTATCTAAATATTAGCAATATTCGCCCATCCTGTGTAGACTACATCCACAAGCCCGAAAATAATTTTCATTTTAAGAAGCATAGACACCTTGTTACTATCATACCACACACTATATATGGAGCTACTAGTCAATAATAGACTCTGAAAACTGCAATTTTTAACGTTGCAAACGTACAATGGTACTACAAAATGAGAGGAAGACGCCCAATATCACATATTGTCCTCACTTTCTTCAACCTATACTATACCCCATTACATAGGCATAGCGCGTTTGTTCGTTCAGTAATTCCCGGCCACAAAGGTTGATATCATGGTTGTAACGTTTGCACTCGCTGTCTGTGCAGAGGTTCCCGGACCACCGCTAAACGTAACAGTAGCCAATGCAACCGGGAGCAGCCTCTTCCTGATGTGGGGGGAGCCCTTCCGGGGAAACAGCGCCATCACCCGCTATCTCGTACAGTTCCGTGAAGCTGGTTCAGGTAAGTGTGCTATATGATTCACGATTGGTGAATAATACACTCGTCAAATGATTACAAGCCAGATCGTTGCGTGTTTGCTGACGTTGAGGTGGTAGCTCCGAAGCTCTGTTTCGGAAAGTTGCGCATCAATCGAGTAATAACATACCTCTGGACACGCATCACGCGAGCCATTGGTCGCGCGGCCAGTTTCACACTCCGCAAGAGCATTTCGTCATGTGGTGGGCACCCGCGTGTCGCAAAATGAAATGTGTGCCCTGTGCTATCAACTGCAATAAGCGAGAACCCTGCAGTCTGCATCCTCTCCGGTCAGAATAACACCATAATCTTCTTTCGGGGAAAGATGCTCTTGACAGTGGTATACAGGCGAACTGGCCACTCGTCTCTCGTCGAAAAAGGTCAGTATTCTGGGACACTGGTCGTCGAGAACGGTGTCTTAACGTATTTCTCTGCGTGAAATAACGCTTGCTTGCCTCTCTCGAGTGCATAGCCACCGTTTGACACGGGAGAGAGCCGTATAGATATATCAGTCGTTGAGCACTCACTCGCTTTTGCGTTCAATGTCCCCACATTTTCTTTCCTATTATTATTATTATTATTATTATTATTATTATTATTATTATTATTATTACTTTTAATATCAGTAGCAGCAGTAGTAGTAGTATCACGCAACATTATGGGTGCTCGAAGCACAGTAACGCTCCTGTCACTGTGTTACTAGTCATTCCAACCAAAATCCGTTACCCTCTCCCTTTTCTTACTGGTTAACAATGAGGTTCAAATGTACGTTGCATTTAGAGATGCTTCTTAATGCAGGATAAACGTTTTTTCCTTTTATTATTACATCTGTATGTTTAAATTAAGTTGTGTTGACCCATCAAAGTCACCGTTTTGAAGGACCCTTGACACCAAATTCGGAAACTCTAGACGCTTGTGTTGTTTGATATTCCTGCATGCGCGGCCACCTCTGACCAGTTATTAGCGGGAAACGTTGCCTAGAAGATATTTTGAATTTGGTTTTAAAGTGAGGGTTCGTGCTCGTCCAGGTATTCAGATGCAATCGACATTTGCTCTGAGTTCACATAGGCAGGGGCTCTCTCATGACATTGCAGAAGTCAACAACATTTGCAGGCCGCGCTAGATACCCCGACTGGCACCCGACGACGACTATTCATCACCCCTCTCACTCTTTTCTCGGGCTGCTCTAAAAGTGGTTTAGCCTGCTTACGCAAGGAATGCTTTTACTTTTTTCTGATGGGAACAAGCTCGAAGTACCCACATTCTTTCATTCTTAAACGCCCGCTGGTCCCCCTATCTCAAAACTGTGCTTTTCAGCATTACCGAAGCTTGAGCTTGTCTTAAGCGCACGTCATCTCAGGCGCTGCTCCGCTGTGGGGTGCTAGTTTTTTATGGTATTTATGCGGGCGTTTCGAACTGACTTAAAATCGTTCTGAATAAACTCCGCTAGCAATATTATAGGGTGCGTTAAAACATCGACGATGTAATTTCGGAATTACCAGACGCAAGGCTACAGATTACTGAAAAAAAAAAACACGCAACCAAATCTTCCGCTGTTAGGGGTGCTTTAAAATGGCAGAGCAGGGGTGCAGTGCAGGATGAGTCCCGAGCTTTGCGAAACTAAGAACCTTTCCGACCTCTCGCCACATCCCTTTTCAAAGAGCTAACAGTACAAAAAGGTCAAGTATATCCCTCAGCACGCACTGCGTTCCATTGGTTACAATGGAACGTGGCGTAATTTCAAGGGCGGTCAACAAATTTGGGTGGTGTCTTCAAACGAGAGCCATCTTTCGTTTGCTTGTCATTCCGCTGAGCACAGAAGTGCATTCAAGCAAGAAAAGTGTGAGAAACGTTTACTAAGGATATTGTCAGAGGTCATCATCATCATCATCATCATCATCATTATCACCATTAAATCATCATCATCATCATCATCATTATCGTCATTACAGGTCTCTCCCATGATCCGCCAATCAACCCGGTCATGTGCTTTCCGTTGCCACATTATACCTGCGAACTTTTTAATCTCATCGGCCTACCTAACTTTCTGTCTTCCCTTCGTGCATTTGCTTTCTCTGGGAATTCAGACAGGTATTTATTTTATTTATTTATTTATTACATACTGCAGTCTGTAGACCAAGCAGGAGGGGCACAAAAAGGGAGCATAGCGAAAAAAGCGAACAAGTTATACAGCAAGTTAGAATACACAAAGCTACTGAAAAACAAGTCATACTAAATAGGATGCTTAGTTATACATGCTTAGTTACTCTTAATGACCACCGTTTAGCCTGCATACGTGCTACGTGCCTGGCCCATGTCTATTTCTTCTTCTTGGTTTCAACTGTGATATCCTTAATCCTGGTTTGTTCCCTGCACATGGTAAGTAGCATTAGAGAGATCGTGGCTCTCTGTCTTACACCCTTCTTTATTGGGATTCTGTTGCTTTTTTTTCTGGACAACTATGGTGGCTGTGGATCCGCTGTAGATTTCTGCCACTGTGTTCATATAGGGTTCGTCAATTCCCTGATTCTGTAGTGCCTGCATTACTGCTCACCCCTCGACTAAGTCAAACACCCTCTCGTATAATCTATGAAGGCTATATATAAGGGTTGCCTGTATTACGCACATTTCTCTATTACCTGATTGATGATATTTTAGTCCAAGTTACTACATTGCCTGATCCCTCGGCTTCACTGCCAACCTTTATAGGTGACGGTAGCATTTCAGCACACCTGTGGCTTGAAGAGCTCGAGCATACCCAAGTATTGGCGTCATGGACACCATCTACTCTCTTCGCCGTAGCACTTGGCAAGCTCCGTGGATCTTCTGCAGACTGGAAGAGCGTGGCAGGAAACTATTTTGACACGTGGGAAAATTTCAAGACCGCCTTCGAGAGCCAGTTTAGGGACAACTTTACGCTCTTGCAGTGGCAGCCCATAATCACCAGACGCATCCAGTCACCCAGTGAGAGCCTCGTTGACTACTCTTTGGCGAAACTGCACGTAATTTCAAGATGTCCCGCGCAACTGACAGATCATCAGAGCATTGAATATGCCGTACAGGGTGTGCGCGACACACAGTTGGCAACAACTATCGCTGCACAACGACAACCAACCGTGAGCGCATTTCTTGCCACCATGACCTAACTCGACCGAACTATAAAGCATGCCTTTGTTTTTTCAAGTCAGCTGCCCATTGCAGCCACATCGTCAACGTTACGTGTGCCTCCTTTGCCTGCGCTGCAGATTGGCTCTGGGAATGGCAGGGCTTCTTCACAAATCCGCCTGTTTCATCAGCACCACATCAAAATTCGTCGTTACCCCTGTATCAACAAGACACTCGTTATCTTGCAATTAGTTCCCGAAGTGGCGCACCTGATTATCGCCCAAGGGTAGATATAAGCAAGGCAATATGTTATAACTGTCCCCAACCGGATCATCTTGCATCGAAGTGCCCCCGTTTTGGAACCAGTGCCCTGCTTCCCAGCCAGCAAACAAGTTTTTCCTCCCTGGCGTGCCTTCAACATTCAAAACCACTCGAAGGGTCTCTTGTGCAATGAGCTGTGATTCAAGCAGACATTCCACTTATCGGCATTGCAGACGCATTTCCGGACTTTGGTTCAAAGCACACCGTGGTATCGCTACACGTCATTAGATCTGCCAACCTGCTACCACGCACCAAACCTCTCACATATGTTGTAGGTGGCGGTACCATTATGCCAGCTGCTTTACATTATGTACTCGTATCGCTGTGGGGCCTATTTCGGCAATACTTGAAGTTCTCGTTTTGGCTAGAAACTTCTTGCCTTTAATACCTTGCCTTTAAAACTCCTTGCCTTTAAAAGAGAACTGGTTTGAGGCCGCCCGCGCTGAGCTCCTTGTCTGACCGCCTCATCCAACAGAAATCCACTATCCTGGCACGGGTATTGTCATGCGATACCTGGAAAAGGTGCTACCACGGATCTCCAATTCTGTTGTGCTGCCCAATAGCTCTACGCCTTTTTTACACAGACGATGTCTTCTACAGCCGGTTCGCCGTTTTTGCCGTTGCCACAAAAACCCCAGCCCACATGGTTATTTCTAGAATCAAATGAAGGGTTATCTAATGTGATGCTACATGAACCAAACTCGGCGCAACTTTACTCGAATGATACCACATTGGAATTGCCATGGCTGCAGCTACGTGATGCTCATGCGAGTCCTCAGTTAACACAAGAAGACAGTGCAGTTCGACACGCATTGCACCAGCATGTAGACGTCTCCACCGCTGATGACAATGATTTGGTGCTTTAGAAAGGTACTGACCACTGCACTGAAATTTCGCCAGATTTATCATAATACATAGGTCGCCTGCATAGATCAAGCAAGGAGGATTACGATTTCATTCAAATGCAATGTCAAGAGCTTCATGCTAAGGACTCAAGCATTCTGTGATGATCTGGAAACAATAGACCATTTCTTTTTGACCTGCAGGCGGTTTAACACATTACGAAAAACCCTATTATAAATACCTTTACGTGGTATTGGTATGGACTTATCTCTGTCTGTCATTTTGTCTTTCGGAGCTTCCTTTTCTGGTTTCTCTAATGCGACAGTATGTGCGGCCGTCCGGGACTATATTGATGAAACTAATAGGTTGACTAATTAACCAGTTTCATTATCCTAACATGTCCACATAATTATATACGTATAAAATCAGATTATTGCTCTATTCTAAGAATAAATTCGTTTATGTAAATATTTGTGTGCATTACATTAGGCACCACACTTTCCTAGGCTATCGGTAATCTTTCTGTTAAAACTCCATCATTCCAAATCTGAACAGTAAATTTTAAAACCACTTGATCCGTGGCCAATCCCCCACAGTGGGTATGCGCCACTAACAATAGGAGAACAACAATAACAACAACAACAACTCAAGCGTCAATACGGAACGGCTGGACCCAGAACATTGTCAGAGAGTTAACCAGCCACCGCAAGCCAGTGAATTGAAAACGAAGAAACAAAAAGAAGCCACTGGAAGCATGCACTCAGCCGTAATAAAACGTGTTAGATTTCTGGCTGAGCCCCGACGGCATTTCAGCTGTAATATTGAGGCTCTAAGAGATAAGGGACCAGCAGGTGGTGAGCGCAAGGCCAAGAAACAAGCCACTAAGCCAGCTGCTAAGCCAACCCAGAATAAGCTACCCAAGCCGAGTCAAGGAAGCCTAGCTGCTGCGCGCTACAGGAAGGCGAAAAAGACATCCCAGGAGGCAGCTGCCTTTTACTGTGACAGCTGCGCGGAAGAGGCTCAGAAGAAGCGGAAATATCACGGGGCTCTGGACAAGAAAGAAGAGATCAAGGTCAGAGGTGCCCATATTTTTATGAAGACATCGCTGAAACGGTGCGATAAGAGGCAGCAGACCAGCGCAAAATGGGAGATCACTGAGCAAGTGGAACAACGTCAGATGGAGCGCCAGGAGAAACTTCGGGACAACATTAAGGCACGCAGAAAGACCAAGCCTCAGACAAAGATGAGTTTTAAGAAGAAGGACCACATTGTTCCAGGATTCTGGGAAGATATTGGTGTTTTGGTTTCTGCTAGACTATGGCACATGAAAAAAAAACAGGGTGGGGTGTGATCAGAAAAGCCCATCGACAATTTTTTTTAAAGGGCAGTCTGATGTAAGACCTCACGTTATCTGGCAGCCTTGTGCTTCATGTTGAGTTAGTCGGGACGCGGTTTCGTAGTGTTGTTTCTAGGTGCACTTGCTCCATGACGGTTTGGGTACCGTAGCCACTGCTTATTAAAGTCATTTTCATTATACCATCGCCTTGTCTACGTTTTGGAGTAGCCTGTACGAAATCATGCTTGGTCCTTTGCTTGATTGAACTTTAATGTTCCTTTTTTCTATTAGCTGTTATTTTTGTAAGTAGTTTCTAGAGAACGGACAGTAAGCTGAATGGCCTGTAATTTTTCAATTCCTTGACGTCTCCTTTCTTGTAAATTGAAGTGGTGTTGGCGTTCTTCCGACATTTTGGCACACCTTCCGTCAAGAGACACATATATAAGGTGGCCAGTTTTTAACCACCATTTTTAAGCAGATCCGTTTGTTACATCATCCTCGCCAGCGGCTTTGCCTCTTTGCATTCCTTCTAGGGCTTTCATTATTTCCCCGGTCGTTACAGTCAGGATGTTCAATTTCTCTGGGTTATTATTGCTTCTCACGATATCATCCTGGTCGTTTTGGCTTCTCTACAGCTCTCTGTATAACTCCTCTCATTCCTTAACAATCCAATCCGTATTTGTTTTGGCATTGCCTTCCCGGTCCCTTAATGAATACATCTGATTTTTGCGTGTGCACAAGTTTGGCTTACCGGCTTTTAGGCTTCAGCCGCTTTTTACAGCCTCCTCAATACTATCCATGCTTTACCTTGTGATGCCGGCTATTTTACGCCTATTGATCAATTACAAAAGGTCCACTAGCTCTCTTTTGTCGCTTGCATTTGAGGCTTTCGTGGTTTTATTCTCTTATTGAGATACTCACCGTTTAAATTTATCAAGCGTTTAATGTGTGCACTAAGTTTTCTTTAGAATAGGCATCTGAGATTAGTTGCGGCCAAATTCCTTACAACGCTGCGGCCGGAGTAACGTCAACTTTCAAGAGGCTCATGAGGTCTGCATTTTTTGTGCCCCTCTTTTCTTTTTCATTTCGTGTTTTTTTTTCTTTTATTTATTGCCACCTCTTTCTCCACATTCACCACAGCCCTCCAAGGGCATAAAATGTGAACAAAGACGTGTCAACAACAACAACAACAACGCCGAAGCCACGAGTATAACCATCATGGTCGGCCTGTATAGCCTAGCGCGTTGCACGGCCTGCACGCACCGTCTTCGTTCCTATCTTCACCGTGCGCTGCTCGCTCCCGAGCACGTGCGCCCGGCTGATGAGCCAATTGACTGGGTGGTATACCCAGCTGAATAGATCAAGACATGCTATGACCAAGCGAATTAAACTATGTTGTGCTACCAAGCGAATCAAGTTATAAATCACTAACAACATTCCAACGAGGTGTAAAAGTATAGCCTAGCAAATTAAGATAATGATAATTAACATACCGCAAATTATTACCGCGCTAAATGAAACCAATCTAATAAAATCAATTGTATATTATCCTAGTAGTTATGGTTATATTAAAGAACACACGCTTATTAAGATCTTGTTGATTAAACCGGAGGTAATTGTTGTGGTAATGTCAATATTAGCAGCGGGGGCAGAAATATTCTTTGTCATGTTAATTAAGACATATATAATTAATTTCTTCATGACTGAGATCGAACCGACGTGTTCTTCAATTCGAAGCTCACCGAGATTGAGCTCCTCTATGGGCTCCAGCATTGCACAACCAGTGCGATCTGTCCAAACTATTTTATATGCAAACTAGGTGCTGCTATCACTTCCACCGCATTAAATGCTTGACAGCCACACCATCACTATGACAGTCTCGTGTACAACTCGGGCTTTCTCAGAATCAACGAGCTTGTACTCGAGTTAACGCGTCAATCAGTTTGACATACGCCAGCGGCAAAGATCGGCTCCTTCCACCACGTTTGTCCTTGCCGAGGAGCAGTGCCCACGCATCAATGCCAGCGAGCTACCGCATGATTCAACTCTGAGCTTAATCGCATAGAATATGCACACATGGACGAAGAACTAATGGTTGTGTAAACACGGGGCTAGAATGCCTCGCATTCAATTTCACCGTGCTCACGACTTAACTGTCACGGCCATATAGCAAATTCCAACGGTGGCATTTGCGGCAACAAATGTTACTATTTACTTGTTTCAGGAGACAGTGTTTCTACCGATTCGTTACTGCTAAATAATCTTCGGATGTGTCAGGTGAGTTGCAGTAACTCGTCCATTTATTAGAGCGAAAGCTGTTATGAGATCACAACTCGGGTCTCGCACAGCGCCGTAGTTGTCCGCCGCTGCCGCCACTGCCACCGGTGTCTGTAACCACATCATGCAAATTTAAAAAACAAAAAAGCCAGTACCAATCACACAGTGGGGCTCGAGCTCGGGTCCACTGGGTGCCAGCCCTGTATTCTATCATTGAGCCACGCCGGTGCTTGGGACTTGTTGGCAAACTTGCCTTAGGCAGGCTTGATGTTGGAAAATCAATCGCGCTACTACAACTTATAGAAGCGTTTTAAAACAGTGAAAGAATAAGCACTCATCACACAATGCGAATAGCTAAATGAGTGGGTCATCCAATGCTCCAACCCATTACAAATGCTTGTTTTTGTTCAGCTATTAACTGTGGTACATACCCACTTCAGGCATAATTCCTCATTGTTCTCAGCCACTGCATGAACAATCGGCACAAAATTCCTCGCAATAGTTTAGCGGATACCACGCTTCTCAGAAGAATGACAGCCTGCTTTCCTAAATACGAATGCCCCTACTCTATGCCCTACTCTACTACCCTATACTCTATGCGAATGCTGGCCAACTACCCTAAAATTTTTAATATTAATGTCGTAGTGGGCATCAAGCAAGTGGGCTTGCAGCAGTTACCCAATGAGTGTTCAGAAAAAGCTCTGAAAGACCACTCTTCGAGCTTTCGCTGTAACTGTGCTTCACCTTCCACGCAGGCCTGGCGTTTTTTATCTGTTACATTCAATAGAAGCGAAACGAGCTGCAGAAGAGTGCTGCGTCTGCACGCTTGTTGCCTTCGAAAACGGAAGTTTCCATGCTACAAATGGAACGAAAGAACTTGCCCGAAAGAGTACAAATGGTCATGAACACACCTGTGGTAGGCATAGAGAAAGATACTATGTGAAGAGTGTCCACTCGAGCCTTTTTGTGGCCCAGCAAGAAAGGGTCTGACCAACTGCTAGATTGCGTACGCATGCTCGCTTTTACTCCTTTTTCACCACATGTAATATGCACATTGGAAGAACATTAAAAACCTAAGATTGACATCAAATTTCTGCAAAGAAGAAATATTATGAATTTGTGCAACTTTTTGTATCCGCTCTACATCGTGTCCCGCGGAGGACGTTTGATATTTTTGTCACAAAAATCAGTAAAGTGTGACTAGAAAGTGTTGTCTTTCTGAATTTGTTTTGCACAAAGGGTGCAAACTCATGTGGTTTAGATGCCCTGTACATTTATTCACTTTGCGGAAACATGGGTGTGTAGCCTACTGGTAAAGACACTCGCTTTCAGAGCATAAGGGTACGGATTCAAACCCCAGCATCGGAAAGAAATTTTTTGTTATTTTATTTATGTTGAAGACATTAACGGTTCTGACCAACCACTCGTGGCTCTCAAAGCAGTGAAGTAGCTCAGCCGCAGGGCCCCTACAGGAGTGTACGCTCTTTACGTAAGTATGTTTCTCTATTGGGGAGGTGCGATATTCAATTGGCCAAAGTATAATTGGCCAAAGTACAGCGCAAACATCACGCTGACGCCGCTGCACTGCTGAAATGTTGATTGAGTGGCGGCGTTGATGCTTTCGCACCCGGTGTTCCTTGGAAAACCACCCCAAATGTCGCACGTGCGTTATGACGCAATGATGGTTCTTGTAGCCCTTTTTATCAACTCTGATATCGCATGCTCCGCACTGTCTTCGTGTCATGACCACCGTAGTGCGAGTTTAGAACAAACAAGTGGGCCCAAGAAGCTAAGGCCATCATGCATAGCACCCGAAAATTCCTTGTTCGGCTAGTTGGTGGATGTTAACGGAAGGTATAAGGTGCCAATGAGACAAACGCAAGTGAGGCGCTCATCCGTGTCACTTCTTGTCTTTATCTTGTTGGCGCCATATTACTTCTGTTATTGGTGGTGCACTTCAAGATAATATTGACCACGTGGTGTTCTTTAACAAACAGTCCCCAATTCTTTAACTAGCGTGCGTGGTTGGCACTTTTAGTGTGTGTCTTGCGACATGACTGAAATAAGCTCCAAGACATGGTAAGGTCTAGTGCATGCCCACAAAGCACACGCCCACAAATATTTTTGCAACTTCGTTCTCTCATACGGCGATGACACAGAAAATTCGCAGCTTCGCACGTTAGTTAAATATATGGGTGGCTGTACATCTCGAGTAGTGCTGGCTGATACTCCCAGGGTTCCCCAAGAATAAATTACACAAGAAAGTGGACTGGGGATTGGCCGTCGCCGTAGCGCGACAGGTGGTGCATCGCAGAGATGCGAAATGCGAATGTTGTGGACTTCTTCCCACAAGCGGCATGTTGGTCGTATCATTCACTTTCGTTTTTTTTTTTTTAATATCGTAAAAATGAGCTTCAGTTAAAATCTACAAATAGCGTTTTATTTCAGTTTACATTCCGATATACGCAAATGAGGGAAAAGGGCCAGAAGAAAAACTTCAGCAAACATTAGCGTAATCCTCATTGTTCTCACTTGGTTCCTAGCACATACTCCAAGATTTAAGCTAAGGTGTAACGTTTACCTATACATGTAGATGACAAGTGAGCATGCTAAAATTTGTTTATAGAAGCTGCAAGACAGCACTGCTTTTTTTTTTTGGGGGGGGGGGGTGTTTTGTGTTCA